GTATAACCCATAGAGCATTGTGGTAATAGTATAACCCATAATGCATTGTGGTGATAGTATAACCCATAGAGCATTGTGGTAATAGTATAACCCATAATGCATTGTGGTGATATTATTACCCATAGTGCATTGTGGTGATAGTATAACCCATAATGCATTGTGGTGATAGTATTCCCCATAGTGCATTGTGGTGATAGTATAACCCATAGTGCATTGTGGTAATAGTATAACCCATAGAGCATTGTGGTAATAGTATAACCCATAATGCATTGTGGTGATAGTATTACCCATAGTGCATTGTGGTGATAGTATTACTCATAGTGCATTGTGGTAATAGTATAACCCATAGAGCATTGTGGTGATAGTATTACCCATAAAGCATTGTGGTAATAGTATAACCCATAGAGCATTGTGGTGATAGTATTACCCATAGTGCATTGTGGTGATAGTATTACCCATAGAGCATTGTGGTGATAGTATTACCCATAGTGCATTGTGGTGATAGTATTACCCATAGTGCATTGTGGTAATAGTATTACCCATAGTGCATTGTGGTAATAGTATAACCCATAGTGCATTGTGGTAATAGTATAACCCATAGAGCATTGTAGTACCGTAATAGTATAACCCATAGTGCATTGTGGTGATAGTATTACCCATAGTGCATTGTGGTGATAGTATTACCCATAGTGCATTGTGGTGATAGTATTACTCATAGTGCATTGTGGTGATAGTATTACCCATAGTGCATTGTGGTGATAGTATTACCCATAGTGCATTGTGGTGATAGTATTACCCATAGTGTATTGTGGTGTTAGTATTGCCATAGTGCATTGTGGTGATAGTATTACCCATAGAGCATTGTGGTGATAGTATTACCCATGGAGCATTGTAGTACCGTAATAGTATAACCCATAGTGCATTGTGGTGATAGTATTACCCATAGTGCATTGTGGTAATAGTATAACCCATAGTGCATTGTGGTAATAGTATAACCCATAGAGCATTGTGGTAATAGTATAACCCATAGTGCATTGTGGTAATAGTATAACCCATAGTGCATTGTGGTAATAGTATAACCCATAGAGCATTGTAGTACCGTAATAGTATTACCCATAGTGCATTGTGGTGATAGTATTACCCATAGTGCATTGTGGTGATATTATTACCCATAGTGCATTGTGGTGATAGTATTACCCATAGTGCATTGTGGTGTTAGTATTGCCATAGTGTATTGTGGTGTTAGTATTGCCATAGTGCATTGTGGTGATAGAATTACCCATAGAGCATTGTGATGATAGTATTACCCATATTGCATTTTGGTGATAGTATTACCCATTGGAGAAGCTAGAACTAGGTTAGACCCCTAATAATGAACATGAATGTAGTTATCAAAGTTAATGTACACGCTATAAAATATATATGCCAATAAAGACAAATTACTAATGCTCAGAACACGCATAGATAACTTGTGGCTATTTGGTTTTATACTCAATTCACTTTAAGGGTGGTGGTTGTCATGCAGTGTGTGTTCAAATTGAACAGGATGTGGTGCAAAGATCACCACCCTTTAACTTAATTTAAATGTTGTTGTCATTGACGAACTCTTTACATATTACACCCTTTTCGAAATCTGGCATGTTGGTACAAAACAATTTATGTTAGGTTAAATGTTAGTGAACTGAGTAATGAATGCTGTTCTTGTACCGTATCTCTGACATCTCTTGACCAATCACATTCAAACTACTGTAAACTATTCAATTTTCTCTGCTAGAAATTTCTGCAATTTCACAAAATGACAAGTTAATAACAGAGAAAGCTGGTACCAGTGAATACGTGCAAAAAACATCATTGCAGAAATTGTTTTGCAAGTGTTTACATACAATCAAACACATTCAACACCAAAGATAATTATAAATATCTTGACTTTAACTGTTTTCCCAAACACCATAATACTTTTTACATCATAAATTCTATGGTAAATAATTAATATTGTAATAAAATGTGAATATTTTTTGTAACCATTTCTGTTTCTTCATTGTAAAAGTGTTGTTGAAATCAATGACAACGCAACTAATTTTGTTTTCTCCAAAGATAAAGATGTAATATTCCTCTTAACATGGTGATCTAAAATTGTCATTTACATAATTTTTTGAGGGGGGTGCCCACCCCCCTCTAAAAAAATAATTTTTGGAGCTGAGTATCCTGGGCGTATGTCATGCCACACGTATGCAAATGTATTCGTCTGATGATCAAGATGACCAAAGGGCGGCCATTACAATATTAGAAATGCATCAAAATAAAGCACTATTGCCATTCCAAAACCAGAAGCATATCATTCCCTTGGACCATAATAGGACTTTTATGCACATGTTTTGTTTTTCTGATGGGATTCGAAATGGCAGACTTACTACTGCATAATTATTGGGACTGTGTAAGCAGAGAATTCAATATATACATGGCGTATAGCGGGATAATTTTAGGTAGATGATAAAAATAAATGAAAATACATGATATTCACTGTGTCATTTTGATCCTTGACAGGCTAGAGCAGAAGCAGAGGCTAGAGCAGCAGAATTAGAGGCCTTGAAAGAGGCTGAAGAAAAGAGACTGATAGAATTACAAGAGTTGTACGACCAATTACAACAATTATTGAAGGAAGAACAACAAGCTAAAAGAGATGAAGAAGTGGTTAGAGCATTACAAGCACGGTAAACAAAAACCATTATGTGAGCATTTGCCAGAATTCATCTTAGAATTATATACGCTGTTTATGTTTGGAGTTACGAAAACATTCAGTTACAGAAATTACCAAGCCCATATTTTAGAAACCATGCCCAAATTGTAACTCAGTGTTTAATTAAAGCTGGTGGGTGTTCACCTGAGCACACGCGGGAATTGAGTTCTAAGCGACGATAACAACGCTATGGCCACCTGATGCATGCTTAGGTGATGACTCCCTCGCTTTAACCATTAACAGAACTTGAGTTACGGGGCAACATGGATTTGTTGTTTTGTTAAACAAAACAAAAAAGTCTATATTGCCCGTTACTTGTTTGTTTAATTAAAGTTCAAGTTACTAAATGTGGATGTTCAACAAAACCAAAAATGTATGTTGCCTGTAACTCAAAGTTCCGTTAACTGTTAATTGAACATTACAATTTGGACATGGTTTCTAAAATATAGGCATGGTCATTTTTTCAACTCGATGTGCATAACTCAAACAATCGGCATCTCGAGATTCTGAGGATTTGAAAACTATCAGTTTTGTTGGTTTATTAGACTGCTGGACGAGGAAACAGAGAAAAGAGAACAACTGGAGAAGCTGAAAGCAGAGCAAGAGGCGGCGTTGCTTGATGAGCGGAAGAAGAGAGAGGAAGTTGAAGACGAACGACAAAAACAGATGAAAATACTGGAGGAAGAGAAAGAAAAATTAGCAATGCTGGAGCAACAAAGATTAGAAGCAGATTTGCAGCTACAGGTAACTGTCTTTTACAAAAACACGCAAGAGTTGCAAATACTTGTATTATTACATCCCTGAACAAGTTTGGTACCACCTCTGTACTTTGGAGTTTGTATATTTATGTTTATCATGTAACCATGGTGTGACCAATGCAACAGAGGGGATGCAGCTTCTATTAGAGTATTTACACATATGAGAAATTTTTGGTTCTCAATTATTCAAAAAAAAAAGGGTTATATTAGACATGCAGCTTCTAATTTTACAGATTTTACAGTATTGTCCCATGGCACCATGAAATAGCATTCTTTTGTGTGTTACAATGAGAAACTCTTCCAAATATTTTTCGAAAATTGTTATTTTTCTATGGAACACAATGTTGAAGAAAGATCTTTTGACACTTTTTAAAATGAAGATTTTTGAAATAATCCAGCAAAAAATACCCTATCATTTACAATATATGATTTTTGATGTCACAATTTGAGATATGGCATACTGGTAATATCTCTGCTGTAGGAACCTATGGTGAAAGAATTATACTGGTAATACTGGCAAAATGGCAACTATTTGAAATGAAACCATCATTTTCTTGAAACATCGGCTGGTGATTTCCAACATTTTTTAAGTCAACGTATTTATATTGCCCAAGAGTACAATTTATGGCAAAATGAATAAATTCTGGGTGTTTTCATTTATGAGTAGGCTTCTACCTTAATACCCACATGGTGCAATGACAATAACTCGTATATGACTGGAAGTTAATTTTGAAAACCGTCATTGGTTGTACCGTAACTGGAAATGTGATTACACTGACACATTTACAAGTCAGGCCTAATTACTATTATTTTAACTCAGTATTAAAATGGTATCATCTGATATCTCTTATTTGTAGAGCAAGTTGGTACTCTTGGTGTCATGAGCTACATTATACACTCACCTTTGTTTTATGGATAAGACTAGCCCATGGCGTCACTCGACATCATGCAGATCTACAAACAAATGATATCAGATGATGACCTCATAATATTTATTACATACCAAATATGGACATTCACACCCAAGCATAGATGATTTGCCCAACGTTCCAAGAGAAAATTTTCTCTTTGGAAGAGGTCACAAATGCTCATATTGAAACTGTTTTTTTGTGACATGTCTCTCAGATGATATACATAAATTTTACTCCCCAAATAAATCACAGATATGTACTGATAATAAAATCCATCTTGGACAAGCGTTTTCGGTCTATATAGTCTGTACAAGTGGCAACAGTAAATAAACGCTTCACAGGATTGCAAAATATCCTGCATGTTCCTATTATAAACTATGTATTGAATGTGTATGAAAGTGAAGACATGCAATAATGAACTTCTTTGCATATTGAACACTCAGTCATATTCATACACTCTATTTTTGATTTCAGGAGGCAAGCTTGAAGCTGCAAGCTGCAGAGTCCTCTAAAAAAGAAATGGATGTAGCTATGAGAGAAATTGATCGTAAATATCAGGAGATTCAAGCAAAGAAGGCAAGACAGGATGAAAAGCCAATTGGACTTGCCCGGCCTGTGCAGGTCAAGGCTAATCCATTAATTACCCATAGGGGAGTTGGAGCATTTATTCCACAAGAGTTTGACATCTTGAAGGAGAAATTACAAAAACTGAAGATGTTGGGAGTGTTTGATGTAGTAGAGAATAAAAGTGAACACAAGCAAGGAGTTACAGAGGAAAGAGATCAGACAGAATTGAAGCAAGGAGTTACAGAGGAAAAAGATCAGACAGAATTGAAGCAAGGAGTTACAGAGGAAAGAGATCAGACAGAATTGAAGCAAGGAGTTACAGAGGAAAGAGATCAGACAGAATTGAAGCAAGGAGTTACAGAGGAAAGAAATCAGACAGAATTGAAGCAAGGAGTTACAGAGGAAAGAGGCCAGCCAGAATTGAAGCAAGGAGTTACAGAGGAAAGAGGCCAGCCAGAATTGAAGCAAGGAGTTACAGTGGAAAGAGAGCCAGATGTGAACAACCATACTGAAGATGTAATGGTAGTGGAAAATTTAGAGTTTGAATCACAAGAAAAAGAACTGTGTACAGATGATTCCAAGGATGCAAGCAGTTCAGGAGTTGAGAGAACAGATGATGATATTTGTAAGGACAAAATGTTGCTAAGGGAAACAATTGGGAAAGATGAAGATCCAGTATTATCACACAGAGATGATGATCAGTTACCTTTGGATTTACAAGCCAAAAATGAGAAGCTTACTGATGAGAACAAACTGTTGCCAGGGAAAGGTAGCAGCCATTCATCATGTGGGTCAGATGGATATGATGAATATGTGGAATCAGACGTCATAGAACTATAAAAAAGTAAAAGTTTAATACTCCTAACAATGTTAAATAGAATGTTTCTGACAACTTACAATTTGGGATTACTTGCACTTACTTATAAACTTTTACACATTTTATCAAGTAATCTGTACATCAATAAAAGTATGCCCTCTATGGTCGAAATATATTGATTTTCCATTAACAATTTATTACCACACGTAAACCAGTTGCATTTATTTTGGTATAACAATTTGCCAACAAGATTTACGGTAGAACACCAGGCAAAGTTTATTCTCTATAAACTGTTGAAGCTTTCATTTTATCTCTTGTTTTGTTAAAATTGTGTTTTTCTGCATTCTCTTTTTTATGACATGAATTGGATTGAAATATCGACAGTATATTCTGTTGGTTAATTTTATATTTTGTTAAGTGTGTTTTTTAGTATATTCTGTCAGTTGCACTTTTAACAATTCTAACTGCAATTAAATGACTAAATTTCTGGAAATTAAAAATAAAAAACAAACATCCATTTAATTGTTTTGAAATTGCACTACCATGCATGATCCAAATTATTTTGACATGAAATTAATGTACATATATCACAATAGCTTTTTATGAACAGAATTAAGATTTTATTATATATATTATGAATGAAAGAATGATTTATTAGTACATTCACTCCAGACAAAATCAAACATTTATGAATGGCAGTAAAAACACTACACATGTTTTTTTTTGTATTAACCTGAAAAATGTACAACTTTTATCCTTCTGATCTATAAAACCATCCATTGTCTTAGCTTTATGGTATGTATACCTATACCAGTTTTCAATCCATGTTGTGATGGATTTAACACACTGTAATTCAATCGCTCTATAATATCAATCAGTGTAGCCAAAGATTATTTTCATGCAAGACCTCCCAAAAAATAGATTTATTTGGTCCATTTTGAAATGGGACTCCCGCACGTTTTTTTATGGTGTATTTGAAAAACAAACAAACTGTGTGTTGGAAAATAAACATAAATCACTTTGACAGATCTATTTTTTAGCTGACAAAATTAAGTATGATTTTTGCTAGGAATTGTCGCTGCTTCTATTTGCACTGCTACTTTATATACTTGCTATGCATTTTTTTTACTTTTATATACAGATATTTTTAAGTTTACAAATCAGTATCTCAGTACTATGTTCAACATTGTGCTCAGCTTGATTCGATTTTCTGAGATGGTATTTTAGTTGCATTAACAACATTTTTTTTAGATACTGCTTTAAGTGTTGTATAATTATGAATTTTGTCTACTAACTGCATAATGAAAACTTTTCTCAAAATTACATGACTTGAATTCCTGCCATTCCAGCATTATTATTGTACTTTGATCAAATATGTATAGTATAATCTACTCCACTAATGCCTAGCAACGATGCTAGCATTATCTCATGGCAGTTATTGACCTTTGATTGGTTGAATGAAAATTTATCAACTTAAGCATTGTAATTACAACTTGTCTATGGACTATTTTATTTCCAAATTGATAGTAGTGTAGTAATGATTGAAGGTAAAATTTTCTGAATTCATCTGGAAATGTATTTTTGGGAAAATATGAAGGGACACACATACATGTACCCGGTATTGTTAAGTAGAACTGTATTGCTGTGAGTTTTGACCACTGCATGTGTGGTGATTTGCAGAACTCTTGAATACCTTTTGAGCAAAGTGTTATTTGGTAACATAGTAATTAAAGACAGTTATTAAAAACACAAAAGCTTTTATATAATTTGTCTTTCACACAGCAGTTTACACAGTAGTACCACGTGAATAGCGTTTGGAAACCAATCCTGAATCTGTACTGCCAAGCTCAAGTTTCACCTGGTGTTGTAAAGAGTTACTAGAAAAAATGCCATGGTTCATTACGATTCTTAGACGGCAAATCTGTCAACAAAAACTATCTGTATTTTCATTTTTTGGATAACAAAACCTTGAATATCACAGTATTTGGTGCTCTTACAGCTTATTGAGCTCTGTCTCTTCAATTTAGAGGACGCGCATGGAAACTACGATAGCAATACAATGTACGGTATAAGCGATGACGTCATAGTGGTTGGACACTCATCAAGAGAAGTCAATGGGTAATTAGCATATCTAATAGTTTCCTAACCATTCTTCTAGTAACTATGTCGCAAGTGCATGCACCTAACAAGTAATCCTTACTATATTTACTGTAAAATATTTTTTTTAGCTTATAATTTGTTTTCAATAAAGGGGTGATTCAGTGGAAATAAAATCCAGCGCATATTATTTTTCTCATATTTCACATTCAACTCGTCAAAAATCGGTGAAAAACACCATACAAAACAAGTCTATTCAGCAAAAGGTATTTTACAGTTATTTATATATTCGAAAAAAGTTCATGTTTAACGATACAACAACTGCAATTTTGGGTTTATATGTACCGTACCTCTTTTGTGGTTCACATTATTGGATTTATATTCCTCCACAGGTTTTTTGTCTCTAGATTGGTAATAACAGTTTTGATTCATGCATAGGTAGATTTGTAATTTACACATATTTCAAAATAAGAGCATGAAAAAGATGTCCAAACAGCACTCAACCATCAATTTTGATATTTACACTCAGTACTTTTAACCCAACTCTATGATCACTTTTGGCCCCTATGTGTGCAACACACAAACGACAGGTAATGTTGTACTGATGTACGTCTGTGTCAAATCTTGTTCCAATGCTATCTCAAGAACCACTGGCTTTTTAATTCTGTATCTTAAAGAGTGGCAGTCGTAGCACCACACATGCACGAGATATATGGGTCTCGTAAACAAAGATGGCGACATTGGCTGTTGCGCAGATTACAAATGGATTGTGGGAAAATCAATGTTTTTCAACACAAATGTCGCACATGCACAGCACGACCACCACCACCACCACCCTTTAATAGTTTGCTTCAATGGGTAGAAACTTGTACAATTGATTGTCTGATTGGTTGAATGTCCATGATATACAATATTTAGGGATATATTCTTCTGTTTGTAAGTTTCATTGAGCATCATTCTATGAATAAATAAAATGATTTCATCTATCTGTATTGCAAAATGTTTTGTTGACATCCTACAGACAGCTGACTTTGAAACATTTCCTCTAGTGATAGCCCATGACAGCTAGCACAGATGAACACCCGGACCCATGTCCTTTGCACCTGGAATATTTAAAAAAAAAACAATTCTGAAGAGAATGAAATTGGCAATAATAGATCAAAATGGTATTTGATTATTACATTTCAATGTTATTGTAGCATTATAAAAAGGTCAAGCAATTTGAGAGCACACATCTGTTGTTTTCAACTTTAGTTAAATACTGATAAAGTTGTTTTTGTTAATATTTAATATTCACTGCAAGAAAATTTCCATGATTTCCATGTTTTTATGGCATTCATTGAGGCAAAATTTTGCAAAAGTCACTTTGTGTTGCAGAACCCCAGAGAAATGTTTCTTGCTAAAAATGTTGTATCTTGCTGACAGTAGATAAATTATGTCTTGCTGCTAGCATACAATGAAAAGTGACTACATGGTATTTGAAGATTACAACCACTGCTTTTATAACGCATAATTGGTGACCTATTGTTTATGAAATATACTGAACCTGTTAAAGCCTTGCCCTCATTTTTTCGGAAATTATAATCCTAGCATTGCGTAAACTGTTAGATGTTGACAAACATTTAATTTAATGCTTGTCAAAAGAATCCCAGGAAAATATGACATGTAACAAAATTTCAGTATTTTTCATGCAAAATTAACTCCATTTGTCTGGTTCTTAGCAAGCGTGCATGTCTTATGAAGTTACTCGCTGTATTAGAGATCTCAATGAAATATTCACTGCTAGAAAATGTCAGTTTGTCTAACTCGTGCAATTGCAAAAATAAAGCAGTTCACAGAATCTATTAGTGAATTCTTATGTGTAATTTCTGCACATATATTAAGATTCATACATTAGTGGTGATATATGCCGTGGTGTGTCCTTGGGAGTGTTGTGAGCATGCCCAGGTCACCAAATAGTCCTTATGCATGACCCCTGAAAGTCACACATCCTGGCATTCTCAATCAGCAATAATTTGCTATATTGTAGATCAATTTTTGACATGTTAAAGTAGAATGCTACACAAAAGTAAAAATATTGTCATTTTCTTTACTTTTGCATATTACATGTAGTATTCTATTTTCCACATTTCAATGAAATGAATTAAAAATACAGAGTGACCATACTTGGTTCAGAAAAAATTGACTTATAAAATACTGTGGAAATAGCATGTTTTGTCTGTTTCTTGGAAATTGTGTCTTACAAGGTACTTTCTGATGTATTAACAAATTTACAATATTTTAATTGGTTTTTAACAAGGAAATGTGTTTTTATTGATGGCTATGGAAACTGCTGCTATATTATTTTACCTTTCCCCCCTTTGACGGTGAACCAAACAAATTTACATTTTGTTGATTAATATTAAAACAATTCATTGTTGATAGATTTTGACATGAAATATCATCACTTCTGTGTGCATTAAAATATATACACGTACAAAGAACCTCACCGTAAACTGTGTTTTCAACTGTTTCATCTTCAATGACAAAAGTTTATAATTTTTTGAAATAAGATTAAGAAATTCACATTAATGGTGAGTTTGTAGCCCATATAAAAACATACCAGGATTTGTTGTCTATTAAAGGTCAATAACCTACCTAACATGCTGCTGAGCAATGATGCATACGTTGCAGAACCAGTCACATGACCAACCTTGGAAGGATTTGTTCTCACAGTCTTGACTGTGAATGGCTTTGCCAATAGTGCATCACAAGGTCCTGTCACATCCACTTCGACAATATGAAAATCTGTTAAACTGGTAACAGAAAATGGAGTCACTCATTGGTTAATATCCAATCAATCAAAGATCTCATATATTTGACTTTCAGCATGTGGTTTTTATTTTCTGGCTTTGTCATATGTTGTTTCATAAACCTGGTTCCCTTGAGATGCAATATTACATTTTCATGAAAGCAAGCAAGGGATTTGTCACCTACGCACGTGTCAGGTGGCCATAGCGTATCATTGTTTACAAACTAGTGTCTACCCATGATCCTTTGATCCTTCTTAACGTGTGTTATCATCCCTTGGGACTCAATCCTGCGCGTGCACAGGTGACAACCCTCCCGCTTTAATATTGTTTGTATACATTGATCATTTATAAATTAACACCCTAGTCAGCACCATGTGCTTTCACATTGACTTGACATATGGGTTAAATCAAGTCTGCTTTGCAATTTTACTTTCAAATCAAGACCCAATATTTAATCACCACTGCTAATATCATAATAGGTATATGGTTCAATATTTTGGGTGAATTGCTCAGTTAAAAAAACATTTAAGGAAGTATGGTACTGTGAAATGTAGTGAAACTAACTAATTTGTCACTTCAGTAGATTCTGAATGGTCTGCTACCATGGAAATCCCATTTTTAATGTTGTCCTCTAACCTCTTACTATATTTGCTGAATCTCTACTTTTGCCTTTACCCGACTCAGTTGAACCCCCCTCCCCCCGAAAAAAATGCAAATGACAATTTTAGTTCACCGTGTGTCAGATTAGGGGGAATATTATGTCTTTTTGGCAAAGTGAAATTAGTTGTCTTTATTGATATACGTGACAATATTACAAGGAAGAAACAGAAGTGAAAGTCCTTTGACCTGGTAGGTCAGCTGTTATTAACCAATCAGATGCAGTGGTGTACCAATTCTCTCGGAATTCTCAAAGACATTCTGATAGCGCACAGTGGATATGAATTGTCAATGTATTTTGGAAGGCATGGCTAAAGACGCACTGTCATTTACATAGCACTTAAGCTCTAAATAAAGCAAATATGGCATTAGCAATAAGCAGCAGCCATTTTTGATTAAAATGATCATTCCATCATTACCATTAAATTTATTTAATGTTCTGCCAAATAAGGATACAATAATAAACATTGACTGCTGTTTTTTTTTTCCCCTGAAAAGTCAAAGATGTTTGAAAAGTATAAAATATATTGATTATTTTACCTGGGATCAGAAACCAAACATCCCTGGACTTTGTCAAATCCCAGATTGTGTGCCGCAATGGCCGCAGCTGCCATAGTATTGACATTGTTAGGAGCTAAGGAACAAACCTGTCTCACTGGACCTGTGAAGAAATGCACACATTGATATAATTATCAGTAGGGATTTGTTTATCAAATAGTTGTGCAGTGTACCATTTACTTCAAAAAACTACTCAGTAATAAACGTTGATGATTTCAGTAATATGAAATAAAAATATTGTTTTCATAGGACATACTGTTCACATGGATTGATTGTTAATGTTTCGTAAGACACATGGATTGATTGTTAATGTTTTGTAAGACACATGGATTGATTGTTAATGTTTCGTAAGACACATGGATTGATTGTTAATGTTTTGTAAGACACATGGATTGATTGTTAATGTTTTGTAAGACACATGGATTGATTGTTAATGTTTCGTAAGACACATGGATTGATTGTTAACGTTTCGTAAGACACAAGGATTGATTGTTAACGTTTCGTAAGACACATGGATTGACTGTTAATGTTTCGTAAGACACATGGATTGATTGTTAATGTTTCGTAAGACACATGGATTGATTGTTAATGTTTTGTAAGACACATGGATTGATTGTTAATGTTTCGTAAGACACAAGGATTGATTGTTAATGTTTCGTAAGACACATGGATTGATTGTTAACGTTTCGTAAGACACAAGGATTGATTGTTAACGTTTCGTAAGACACATGGATTGATTGTTAACATTTTGTAAGACACAAGGATTGATTGTTAATGTTTCGTAAGACACATGGATTGATTGTTAATGTTTCGTAAGACAAGGATTGATTGTTAATGTTTCGTAAGACGCATGGATTGATTGTTAATGTTTCGTAAGACACAAGGATTGATTGTTAATGTTTCGTAAGACACATGGATTGATTGTTAATGTTTCGTAAAACACATGGATCGATTGTTACCGTTTCGTAAGACACATGGATTGATTTTGTTAATACCATAACATAATAACACCAAATGCAGTCAAACGCAATTTTCTTTGAAGTGAAAAATACCATTTCCAGTCAAGGATTAATTGGTAATATAGCCCTGAGGTCGTATGGTGTGTCTTTAGGTGAACTTGACTTTGACATCTCCACCTATCAAAACCTTCCTGAGCTATGACATTCACATTTACAAATAGTGCAATGTCCCTAGTCAAATAATGCATATTCACTGCAAAACGTTATGGTTTTGCAGCATACTCCAAATGTGTGCATGCATACAAAAAGTCATAATAATTTGTAGTTAATTACACTCACAGCGTCATACTTTTCAAACTTGATATGGTAATGATTGAATTTGTACTCCAGGTATCATATTTCGTCTATAGTAAATGACACAGGTGAGTCTATGGTCAAAATAAGTCATATTTTTAGGATCTAGAATACAATAAATGCAATTTTATATTAGGGATGCGATTCTAAAGAGCGTAAGTCTGAAATGGAAATAGATTTAAGGGCAAAAGCTAAGAGCATGTCAAGGATCAGATGCACCTATTAATGAAGTCATGAAGGGCATAAATCAAGATATTACACGATGTATGTATCAAGAATACAAAATTAGGGTTTAAATTGTCATCAATTTTATATGTTGTAAGATTCAGTTGATTTCTCAATACTGCGAAATACTTTATTTTAGCTGGAATTAATTTTCGATGAAAAAGCTTTTTGGGTGTTTTGTTTGGAATTTATTTTCACTGAAGCATCCCTTCAGTGAAAATAAATTCCAAGCGGAAATAAAGTATTCTACAGCAATTGAGTAAAGACAATCAAGTAGTACATTTACCATCATAGAGCACAACAAGAGAGTCAGTCACTGAATCATTCTTGTCTTTCAATTCTCCAAGTACTTTAAAACTGCTTGGATGTTTCTTCATTGTCACTCTCAGACCCTACAAAGTACACAGTTTAATTAAACAATCTGATAGTGAAATGGACAGTCAAACAATAATTAGTAAGACATAACTGACAAAAAAATGGACTAAGAATTTGCACTTAAAGTATTGCTGTACCTTTAAGGTTCCTCTGTCGGCCATTTTCTTGATATCATTTCCTCCCCAGAATGCACCACTGGGTATATACATCCCATGATGCTTTGCTGCACTTCGGAGTTTGTTTTCTACCTCTTGTTCAGCAAGACTTGTTGGAGAACCAACCTGATGAAATAAAATAAATATAAACCCTTTGAATGTCATAATTTGTTCTGTTCTTTTCTAAACCTTTTTAATTATGTTGGACAAAATGAACATAATTTCCTGTTGGCTACAGTCTTAATCAAAATTTTGTAAAAATTATGAAAAAAATTATTTGGGTTTAGAATTTGTGAATGGTTACAAAAGTTGATTTTGGCACTCAAAAGTTTGAGATGAAAATTTGTTCTAAAAGTTACTATTAAAGCATGATGCTATAACAGCTATATATCATCTGAAATATGGGTGAATACAGTTGTGCATACACCAATGTCTGAGAGCCAATTTTGTAGGTAAACCTAAAAGTGGTTCTACACTTTTCGAGGTTTTTGGCTCCACATTCATTCTGGAATGTTGTTTTTTGTGTCCTTCATATATAAAAGGCAGACAAAAAAAAAAAAGTCAGAATATTCAAAAACAAACATTAGCGAAATTGGCCATCAGGTATTCCCTTTTAAACAATGTGTATGACATATGCACTACTCTATTCACCTATATCAAAGCTTTTCAGATGATGTACATGTTGTTATAATAATGCTTAGTAATTTACTATTGAACTTATAATAGAAATAACATCCCAATAGGTTTGAGACAACAAAATGCATGAAATTATTAAACTGAGATACCATATAATCAGCATGTTGAAGAAACTTTTCGCCATACTGCAGAGAAATAACAGGATGAGCTACTTCTACTATTAGATCAGCATCCCTACAAAAAAACATTGAGATATTTGTGTTAAATAACATTCCTGATATGAAGTAGATCGTCTTTTAATAATTTGTTATGGCGTTTATACACGATGTAACTTGTAAACCCTAATAATATTTATTGTGTTTGTATCCTAATTTAAGATTTTTATTAAATTACACAAAACAGATGGTGATCAGGGATTTTTTTAAATAAGGGAACAGCGCCCTCATGTCATGGCCATGCGCCCCTCACCCTGGAGAGCAGATCCTCTGGCAACCATAAAATTCTGATTAACCAGGGATCACATGTGGCAACAGTCCTCAATTGTGACCTGTCTGATTGTAATTTTGGCCCTAAGGAAGCCATAGAATGCTCCACTTCAACTTAGAATTATCAAAAACTCCACACGCTGGTAGGGAGAACCCTATCTCCACCCCCCACTTGGTGGCACCGCTGAATTGCCGTGCTTCCTCTAAAAATCCCTGGTGATAAAGAAACATACCCTTGTAATACTTTTGATTGTAAAGCACATGGTGGTTGGTGTTTATGCATAATACATTCTCCATAATTAGGCATTGATCATTAGACACTTGGGGGGGGGGCACACATGGAAAAATCAATGCAGGCAATATACCAGAAAAAATATAAAGCGGTATCATCCTGAAAAAAATTTAGGTGACAGAAAAAAAAAAAAATAAAGTTTTTCTACCACCTTTTTTCTAAATCATATGATTTTGTAAAACAAAAGTTCAAAGAGGATTAATTGGAATGGGTGTCAAAGTGACTTCTGTGAAATATAGCCTCATTATTAAATCTAGAAATCAGTGACAGCAAAAACCATGAAATTCTTAGTATTTTTTGTGTTCATTTTGTGTATAGAATGTGTAGGAGTAAAATTCTGACAATTGAAATTTTAATCATTTGTGTGGTTTGGTGATTTAAGAGCATTCACACCTTTTCATGGAAGCCACTGTGACTTCAGGTCTAAATTTTCACCGTTAACAAAATTTTGGTATTTTCCCAGACTCTCAAAAATGTTTTCTCTCAGTTCAGACAATCTTTGTTTTTCTCCTATTTTAAAATTGTATTCTTCAATGGTGTAGGGAATGTTGCACCGACCTACCTTTCAGCAAACTCACTAAGATCATCTAAAATATACTTGACATCTATTTGTGTTTTAAGAAACTCTGGAGATCTATTCCATACAAATGCAAGTTCTAAGTCATCGCTCTTTTGAATTGCTTTCACCAAATATTGACCTAAAAAAAAAAAAAAAAAAAAATATGGGTTTGACCATTGGAAGTTTACAGACGAGATTCGAAAGCCAACTGTTTAGTCAAAACCCAAGCAGTTAGCCAATTCTCTAGCGAGTTTGCAAATTGGCTGCCCCAATACTTCTGAGACTTGCTGTAATATAAGTTTTTTTCTGTAATTTTCCCAGTAGAATTTTTTTTTCTTAATTCTAAATTAAAGAGCAGCAGTCGTCGTGCCGCGTCCTGTTCGATATGGGACTCGTAGCGACATATACAACGCGTGTAAAATACATTGTTTATTTACATGAAATTCAAACATGCGCTGCGCGACGACCACCACGCTTTAAGCTAAAAGATTGCTCAGTGTCAAAGAACTCTCCATTTAAAAGGGGCAGGGTTGCTGCAGTTCTCTTGGTCCTGGTAATGTCCGAATAGCCAAACGACCAATAAGAGCTGCTAAACTGCAGGAAGAAGCGGGGTGGGGGTGGGGGTGGGGGTTAAAAAAAAAAGATGTTGTCGTGAAAAAAAAGCAAAAAAGAAAACAATGTGAATTGTATATAATTGCAGAAAAAAAAAAATTCCCACCACACTTTGACATTTGCAATTTGTCTTTTAGGCAAAACAAATGTGTGTTATTTTAGCTCCATGGTCAAAATAACTTGATGGGTGGTATCCAAGTGACTGAGCAAAGTCAAATCACAGGGATCACATTAGACTGGCAAAGTCGGGACTTTGTACTAGTATAAATTGCCAATTTAGCCCTTTTAACGTGGTCGCGAAAACTAGAGTGACTGCGAAAGAAATTTCTTTATTGGGCAGGTTAGTTTTCGCGATCATGCTAAAAGGACTAAAAGAACAATTAATTATTTCTTATTGTAAAACAAAAAAGAAGTACCGATTTTGCCAGTCTAGGGTTTATAGTAGTATAGTATATTTTATTTGACTCAAATTAATTAATTGGAAATGCATTAACCATGGTCAATAATCATACACAAGAAACAACAACAACACAATAACAAGAAATACAGATATTAAAAATAAAATAAAATGTTAAAACAGATAACACTAACAACTATTAGGTATTACATTGTAAAATTATGTTAATAAACTTTCCTAAACTATTGGCAATGAAACTGTCTTATATACATGGACGGAGTAAAGCCAGGTGGGGGTCGTCACGCAGCCCGCGTTCGAATTTCATGTAAACAAACACTGCATCACATGCATTGTATACGTCACTACCACCCTTTTAATGACGAGATGGATTCGGGTCTCACCTACCCAACTCTCCAAATCCAACAATGCCGACACGTCGTTTTCTAGTCTCTTTGCTCATCGTTTGAGTTAAACCGCCGCCTCAAAGTTCAACGGAAAGTTAAAGCGCCAGCTCACGGCATTTGAAGAAAGTATAACTTGCCCTTTGACTTGGACACCTCGTACACGGCACAATGTTCCAAGTAGAATGACAACATTTTAGAACTATCGCCGAACATATATTTTATTCTACCAATAAATATATCTGATTTTAAGTGAAATTGTTTGTTTTACCTACCAGCAAAGCCAGGTATTATTATATTTGAAATGTGCTTTTTGAACGAGGTCATTCGTGCGCATGCGTTGTGTGGTTGCTACGAGTTACAAACAAAACTGACGATTCCGGTGTTGGAGTTTTCAATATCATTCTTTTATTTACAATTTCTTGGCAGCATTGACTTATCCTTTTGACTTCGGTGCATCATAAATAGAACGGTAAGCACATATAAATTCTATATAATATTAATTACGCCACCCCTCACTCAAAGTGCAAGATTGTCCGAGTCCATTATTTACGAAATTTTGCGAACGATGTATTCGTTACATGTCTGTTTTGTGAGGTTAGGATAATTTAGGGTAATTGCTAATCAACGAATCACGATTCAAGAAATCTCAGACGAAATTACAAATAGGAATAATAATTAATTAATGATAATAGTCAGGCATTGGCAGAAAAATAGGAACGATAGGAAGGTAGTTTTAATTACATAAAAACAAGTGTAATAATTTAGAATTAGTCAATGGTTAGTACAGTGTGTACTATGCAAAGAAGAGGCTGGCGGTAGGTGAGTGGTCCATACAGTGCAAGGCATGCTATGAGGTTTTGAGCATTATTAAAAGAATAATTAATATGAAAAATAGTTTCAAAATGATGGCATATATCAAACTGTGACAGTATGTTCGACGACAGTAATATTTACTTAATATACATTCCATACAGTGCAAGGCATGCTATGAGGTTTTGAACATTATTAAAAGAATAATTATTATACATGTAGTTTCAAAATAGTGTATGACAGTATGTACGATGACAGTAATATTTACTTAAACCTCCACATTATTCCGAACACCAAAACATCAACATTGCTAGGCAAGTTGCTGACTGGTTTGGATAGTTACATGTATGCATTTGGAACAAATTGGGTCAAACCAACCCCAACAGAAGGTGTCAAACTATAGTGAAGGACTCAGACATGTTGGATATAAATAATAGATGCAATTACCTTTCAATGTATATATCTAATTGTACAAGATACTTTGCGATGGTTGCTTGTTGCGGTCAGTAACATTTATGAAAACTTTTGTTCACAATTTTATAAACTGGCTTGGTAATTCCCACCACCAATTAGACAGTGTCACAGCAATTTGGCTATTTTTTTCAACAAATCCAAAATCTTTTTGATAATTTTGTTTGACTTTGCATTTGTACTATGATATTTTGATTACATTTGAAGTTTGGATAATTTTAATGTGTGTATATATTTTCAAAGCATACATGTACACTAACAAAAAAAATGCCCATAAAATAAGAGAATTCATTAAATAACCTGGACAAAAGAAAGCATTATGTTCCTTGTCTAATGATGCATTTTTTTTCGATCTGTGTAACTTTATGTAGAAATCCTAATGGGATTTAAAATTCACAACTGGCAGTTTTGAAATATTAGAGGTTGTCAACTTGTACATAGAGTCTGCAGGATTTTTTTTTGAAATATTGTATTCACTGATATTTATTTTGTAGTTACATTTACCATGAAGTCCATAGTATCTTTTTCTTACTGATTTGACTACTGTGTAGTGTACTCAGCAGTTTTTTGTTTTGTTTTGTCAATTGTTGAGAGTGGTTTGTTTTGTGTTCTTGGAAATTTTGTTTAAAAATCAACAACAATTAGTATATTATTTCTACTTTGCAGTATATCGTAGCCAGTACCTGAATACTTTGTTCTCCAGCATAAATATCGGATTGTTTGGATGCATAAGATTGTAATGTAAATTTTGTTCATTAATGCTGTATGATGACGCGATCTTCAGGGCTTCAGAGTCTTCAGATGTCTTGGCCTGTTTACTTACAGTACATGTACTTACTTACTATCAGTGTCTGACTGGTATATACAAAATGTAACCAAGTAAACGCCAGAATAGTAGAAAAAGAAAGCTAAAAAGTCAGTTGCTCGTGCCAAGAGAGCTGCAGAACCACAACATCTGTCAACCATCGCCGTCCATAGCAGCGATATAATTTTACACATAGAAATTGAGAATCGCAAGTTTAGACACATTACATCAAAATGAACACTAAATACAGCTATCTCGGCCAGCAATCAAATTATCATGAGTGATGTAACTGATATTTCCATCTACAATGTATTTGCTTCTATTCTGACTCTCCTAAAACCCTCGAGCGAATGTGTATTTTTTACAGTGTCATACAGGAGACGCTTCAGTAAGAAATTGTTAAAATTATTCAATTGGCATATCAAAATCCTTTATTGAAACAGAACATATTCTATATTCACTAAAAAACGTTGTTATTTCAGTTCAATCCAAACAACCTGAATCCTTGAAAATTGAGTCTTATCATCCTTGCGTTTCCAAACAAAAATACGTCAATGCCAAAAATGACAGATTTTTCGCCAAATCTTCTGTGATTTTTTGATAAGATCATTAATTTAGTCTAGCAGTTAGATAGGTTATTTATTAGAGATGCCCTGGAAACCAAAATTGGCGATGTGAATCACTCAATGAAAAATCGGCAATAATAGCCAAGGGGGTGAGGGACTGAATTTCAAGAACATGTTTTATATATAGGGTATATAATAAATTGCTGTATGAAAATGGCAAAAGTGTTCAAACAAACAAAATGTACAGTCTCACATGTCAGGGCAGTTGCTACTGTGTCTGGTACTTGGCATAACACTAGTAAATGTGTGCATTTAGCCAACGGGTGCACACTCGTAAAAATGTTTTGATTGAACCAGTTCTAATTAGGGAAGCGTATTGCAAACCAGTCAGCAACATTGCGGGCATTGTTGCTGTTTTGGTGCCTAGAACAATATGGCGGTGACAATGAAAAATAGTTTTGGAAGTATTGGTGATCCACATTATATCTTGGATAATTGGATTAGTTGAGCCATCATTTGTAATTTGTTGATTCAATGGATTTGTAAATCATTAATTACCCTAACCTGTTTTTGTGAGCTTTATTATACAATATATGTACCATTTTGTGTCTTTCCCAATATTCTAGCAATTGTTACAATAATAGTTCATTTTATTGTAGTCATGGCTCCAAAGAAGAAAAAGGGAGGTAAGAAGTCAGGGAAGAAGGGTAAATTAGCTAAAATGACTGAAGAGGAGAGAGTTTTGTATTTAGAACAGAAATTGTTGGCAGAGGAAGAAATGAAGAAAAAGAAAGAAGATATGTTAACTCAATTTTTAAAGGTAAGTTTCTTTCCATCACTTTGTTTGGGAGCATAATCGAATGAGATCCCTCAAAATCAAGTCAATCCACAAAATGTGTGTACAAATATAATGAAATCAAAATCATCCAGTGTCTGTTTACAGTTTAGACTTCAGAAACCTACCTCAAATCACACATCTGTATTAACTAACACATCAGCTATGTTGGAAGTATTTTTTATGGAAATGAGCTGAAAATTATTTATTTTTACACAAATTGGCAAATAATCTTACTTGCTTGCTACCTGTAGTCCACATCAGTGGACACATACATACTCATGGATTTGGTTATGTTAGTCTGTCCATCCATGTCACATGATCTGATTTGAGCACAATTTTCACGACGAATTGTTTAGTGTTACCTGCAAGCAGCTCAGCCAACAAGTTTCTTTATGATTCATGCACTCTGAGGGATATTTCTAGGTAAAAAGACTATTTTCGGTCAAAAATACACTGAAAATGAAGTTTTTGCCTGTTCTTGACAATGCATTGGTCATTTTACATTACATACATGGATGTTAAGAGACACAATGTCACAATTACAGCTATGACATGTTATGTTCTTTATCTGGCACAAACTACTTAGCATCCCACAAAAAGAAATCTCTAATAACTAAAATGTTTTCTTCAGGATAAACTAGCCAAGGAAGAAAGAAATGCTCGGTTCAACTCCAATAAACTTAACAACCAATGGCGTACTATAATGAGAACAGCAAAGTCAAAGGAACTGAAGAGAGATATAGAAATTTTAAGTCAAACATTTGAGAGAGTTGTAGACAGAAAAGACAGCGTTATTAAGTCTCTAGCTAAAGACTTATCAGAAGCTGAGGAGCAATATTCTATGGCACTAAGGAGCCATCTACAGAATGTTGATAGTTTAATAGGTGAGTGATTTCAGTCAACATAATTATTTTTTCAAATACCCAAACATAGACTGAACATACTGAATCAGTCTCTGGCACAAGTAAATTTGCATATTATTGTATTCTTAACGTGCACGTGCAGTGAACGCTTGAATATCTATAGTTATACTCAAAAAAAGAAAGACTATCATTATGACCTCACTTAACCAGAGAGTGTTTGTTTTGCTTCATTTTCTGCTATACCGGTATATTAGAATGGGTTTGACAGAATTACATTGCTATTCCTATTCAAGTGATTCTCTCGATGAATGTTTCACAGAAGTGCCTGTACAGCTCCTTCACATCATTGTGCACGAGAGCAGGCCTACATTTTTAAGTTTGGCAGCATTTCCATGGCTATTTATCAAATTTTTGGCTTGAGGAAATGTTATTATATAACATATATAAATAAATAAAAAGCAAATCTATTAGTAATATAGCATATTTGAAAAAATGCATAATAACTTGGATTCAGGTGTTAAATGTCACCTGTGACTGATTCTGGACCCTCGGTAAAAATAATTCAAGGCTTGGAGAAAGTCAAATACTCTGGCACTTGCACTGTTGTGTTGAACTGAATCGGCTAATTCTATGTTTCTATACGATAACATTTGACATGTATTGCTTGAGCCTAAGTGCTCTGAAGGTAGTAAATTTGAAAACCAAAACTTTGGAATATATCTAATAGACTTGTTAAAATTACTTTGTATTCAAAAATGTTTACACTAAGGTAGCCAGATGTAAATCCAAAGCAGTGGCCATTATCTATTTGCTTTTGTACTATGCCTGTGCTAAACATGAAATTAATATGATATGTGTACCATTAGATTTACAGAGACAAAGATTAGACATCCTGCAGAAGGAATACACTGAAGAACTAGATATACTGAAAAATGAGTTTGACTCAGAAAGAGCTTTGATCATTGAACAGTTCAAGAGGGAAATGAATGACTTACAGGACATCATGTTTGCTATGGATCAGAATTTTTCTGAAAGGGAGAATGAAGCAAGACAAGAGTTCCAGAGCCTGAGAGATGAAATTAAAAATAAGGTACAGTGCTCCGATGTGCTACGACATTTTGTAGCAGTGGTCTAGGGTTGTACGACATGGTGTGTCAGTGCATTTCTGGAGATTTTGTAGCAGTGGTCTAGGGTTGTACGACATGGTGTGTCAGCGAATTTCTGGAGATTTTGTAGCAGTGGTCTAGGGTCGTATGACATGGTGTGTCAGTGCATTTCTGGAGATTTTGTAGCAGTGGTCTAGGGTTGTACGACATGGTGTGTCAGTGCATTTCTGGAGATTTTGTAGCAGTGGTCTAGGGTTGTACGACATGGTGTGTCAGTGCATTTCTGGAGATTTTGTAGCAGTGGTCTAGGGTCGTATGACATGGTGTGTCAGTGCATTTCTGGAGATTTTGTA